ATTTTATTTATTATTATTCAGTTTGAAGAGAGAGACAGAGAGGGGGAGAGAGAGGGGCTGAGAAAGCAAGCCACCAGGGCCAGGACTCGAACCACAGTCATCCATATGGAAGTCCAGCACTTTAATCACCAGGCCACCTGCTGGTCCCTGATGGAGAGCTCTTAAAACCTCCAAACTTTAATGGGCACTGGGTTGATGGAAGGTGCTTTTACCACTCTCCTCTCTTTCTCACTTGCAGTTAAACTAACATTGCCTCAAAAATATTGAAAGGGGACCAGCAGTTAGCATAATGGCTATGTCACTGGACTCCCATGTAGCTGACTGCAGTTTGTGTCCCGGACCTGATGGCTTAAAACTCATGCTGGGCACGTGTGCGTGCATGCCCAAGATCACAAGAGGAGAACGGAGGAGAAGGGATTGCAGCATGGCCATCCCCCCTGGGGGGGTGATTTCTCTCTTTCTGTCTCTCTGTCTGGTGAGCGCACATGCCCTATAGCAAAAACCTCTCCAAAAAAAAAAAAAAATTGAAAGAACACCCTTCGTAGGTTATTTTTTAACTTTGACTTTCTGTCTGTATGTATGTCTAATGGTAATCATCTGAAAAATTGATCAAATCCCTCATTTTGTTTGAAATACTGCACTACTGGAACTAGTACTTGCAGTCTTCATAATCGCTTTGTTAACCATGATTCATTATTTTATTTTACATATTTCTTCACATACTTCCTCTTGTCCTGGGAGTTTGGTTATTTAGGAACAAACTGTTATTTGTTTATTTAATGATTTGTGGAGCACCCATCAGAGTGCCATCTGGGTGCTGTTTAAATCTAATGTGCAAAATTCTTTGAGACAAATTGCTTTAAGATTGGATAACTAAGTCTGTTATTCAGTGGTGCCATATCATTCGGTTTAGTTATATTGAAGTAAAGGTTCTCCAAGAGAAAAAGAAGGAATGATTATTGGTTATGTTACAGGACCTCATATTTTGAATTTTGCTTCTGTCACTGACCTGGGATGTCATGAGCTGGGGAGTCAAACTGCCCTCACCATGTGGGATCTGGCTTCTCTTGAGTAGCACATCCCTGCTGTGCCATAGAGCTGGTCCATGGATTTGGTTACTTTTGACTATGTTCTTTTTTTTTTTTTTTTTTTCTTAATAGTTACTGATCTTACCCAGAGAATACCCAATCACTGACCTTGCCTTTTGTTCTGGGACTTTGGTCTACCAACTGAGTGACTACTCCTTCCTCCAAATATTTATATTCTGATAGAGAATATAGTTTTCGTCCATCTATCTGGAGATTGCTTTTTCTCTAATGGAATTAAATGATTTGGTCATAAGAAAGATAACTTAAATACTTGAGTCCTGCCACTTCAGTAATTCTTCAATTTCATAATGAATCTGAAAGTAAAGTTAGGATGACTTCTGCTTGAATTCTTTTTCTCTAAATCAGGTTCCTTCAGTATTTTGGTGACAAGGAGATGTTTTACTGCATAGAAACCTTTGCTGTCTGTGATTAGAGAGACGAGGGAAATGTAGACAGTGAAATCATTAGGGAATGAGAATTGCTGACATTCATTTGTCATTCATTCATTTGCTGTAAGAATTGAGTGATAGATTTAAAGAAGGATTTCTCAATTTCAGCACTATAGACTAGAAAGCTCTTCGTCATGAGGATTTTTCCTGTTTATTGTAGGATGATGAGTAGTGTATCTGGTTTCTACCCACAGATGCCAGTAGCTCACTCTCCTCTCAGCTGTGACAATTAAAAACATCTCCAGACATTTTTAATGTCCCAGGGGGACAAAGTCACACCAGGGTGAGAATCGGCGATTTAAATCACCTTGCATAGCACCTAGCACAAAGTAAGGACTCAGTTAATATGAGGTGTTGTGATTATTTGTTCATTTAATCCTCCCTGTAACTCTGGGAGGTTGGCACCACTATTAGATCCATATTACATATGATGTTCCTGGGCTTGGAGCAGTCAAACAGTTAGCCCAGAGCTGATGGTTAGTTAAGGGTCAGCATGTGGACTTGAACCTAAGTTTCTCTCCTTTTAAATCAGTGTATGGTATAAGTAGACTTGGTGGGGCATGTGCAGTCTGTTTGTGGAGGGTGAGGCTGTTGATAGAGTCCAGCAACCTGAGGCAGATGTGAAGAGGAAGAAAGCCATGTTTAATGGCACATTCCGTAGCTCAGAGCGATTATATTCTTTCTAGCCTTCATTGGCACGTAGCTACCTTTGAAAGATTACTTCCTCAATTATTATAGCTCTTTTCTCAAAAGTCCCACCTATTGATCGATCTCCTACAAAATTTTAGTACTTACTGAAAATTAGAATTTAACTGGAAAGCACTCACATAAATACAAGTAATTAGGAAAATTATAGTTACGATATCTATTTATATTTTTTTATTGAAGTCAGAAGAAAATTTCATTTTTCTAACTAATCAATACGTAGACAAGACAAAGGAAATTAAGATAATTTATCAAAGAAAGGACATTTTACTATATGGTAAATTCGCTTACCGAAATAAATTCTGCAGTACTGTCACTATTACAATCTCTGGTTTTTTCCTTCAATTTTCTTTCACAATTGTAAGATTAAAATATCTCTTGGCTGTATTAAAATATCTCTTGGCTGTATTAAAATATCTCTTGGCTGTTACTTTTGACTATGTTCTTTTTTTTTTTTTTTAATAGTTACTGATCTTACCCAGAGAATACCCAATCACTGACCTTGCCTTTTGTTCTGGGACTTTCCTTCTTTTCTGAAGGAAGCTTGTACTTAGTAGGTGGATATTATAATTGAAACAATAGAGGTAAACGACTTATGACACTACAGATATTGTAGGAATCATTTCTATCCTTTACATACTTTAAGGTATTAATCTGTAATGGAAGAAATAAACATTGTATTTATGTTTTATATTGTGATGATTTATAAATGTTAATTATAAGGATGGGGTCAGTAGGTGGCATAGTGGCTAAGGTGCTGGACTCCCACATGGCCCACTGCGGTTTGAGCCCTGGACCAGCAACTTAAAAATCACACTGGTTGCATGTGTGTGCGGGCCCAATATACTGAGAGGAGAATCGAGGAGATGGGATTGCAGCGTGACCATCCCTCCTGAGGGGTGGTTTCTTACTTTCCCTCTCAGATGAATGCACATATCCTATGACAAAAACCTAAAAAAAAAAAAAAAAAAAGTAAGTTAATTAATTTTAAAAAGTTAATCATAAGGAACATACAATTTTTATCCTAGATACTCTGTGAAATTACTTAAATAAATCATTTTATTATGCCACTTGTTATGAAATAAATTGCCTTAATGACACTTTTCTATCCTGTTTCTTAGTTTATGTTTCATAGACCATACAATAGAACATTGGAAGCCGAAGCTGACAAAATCGGACTACAGCTTGCTGCAAAGGTAAAATATTTAGTAGTTGAGAATGCACAGTGTCCATTCACATAGTCAAAGATAAATGTGTTGTCTGAATGGTGCGTGGCATGGACAGTGAATGAGAGCTCGACTGTATTAACCCTTTATGTACTTTTCATCAATCTATGTGAAATTTGAAGATTATGGACCAAGAAAGAATGTATAACTAAAGAAATTAATTTAACTCCCTCATATATACGAGACTATATTCAAGCTTTGAATACATAAGATTATGGAAATTGTCAGGTTCTATATTTTTAAAAGTCTTAATTCTCTCTTGGGAAGAAATGTTTGCATGTATATAAATTTTTTGATTACATGCATAAAATATAAAAATTTAAAATTTAAAACGTAAGCAAGTAATGTATTCCCCTTGCCCCCCAACCCCAAATTTTTTAAATTAGTATGTTATGGGAAGCTAATTCTGTCTTTATTTTACTTTTTTCTTGTTTTTCTACTCCAAAGAGGCTTTTTGAGTAAATAAGATGATATGTAGCTGTTTTCTCCCACTTAGGAAAGGTTAATTCTCTTGCTGCTGTGATCCTGACTGAACAAACTGGGTTTTTACCATTTAAATAAATGATAGAAAAAACAGGCATTGAGGCTATTTTTGTTGCAGCCTGCCTGCCTGCCTGCCTGCCTGCCTTCCTTCCTTCCTTTCTTTGCCACAGAGAGCAGCTCTGGACTTTATATTTATTTAAGTTAGCTTTTTTCCTATATATTTAACAGGGTACTTCACACCTGGCTGCTAATTTTAATCACTTATGATAACAGTATAATTTGTGAGATTTAATATTAGAGGTAAAACTGCATCTTCAAAAATGAGTGGGGGCCAGCAGGTGGCATGGTGGATAAGGCGCTGGACTCCCACATAGCCAACCACGGTTTGAGTCTTAGACCCAGCAACTTTGAATATCACACCAGGCACGTGTGTGTGCATGCTCAAAATCCTAAGAGGAGAGTGGATGAAAAGGAATTGTGCCATGGTCATCTCCCTTGGAGGGGTGATTTCTCACTTTCTTTGTCTCTCCAGCAAGTGCATGTGCCCTCTAGCAAAAATCTCACTCTTTAAAAAAACAACAACAAAACTTGATTCAACATAATAACAACTATTTGAAGAAAATGGAAAGTGTAGAAAACTAGAAGCCAAAGATAATTTAATACTGAAAAACTTTCATAAAAGAGATAAGACATGAAAGTTCATGGCTTTTCTGGTCTGCCAAAAATGGAAGTGGACACTTAGAACTTCACAAGTAAAGTTCCAGAGAACACAATTCAGGAATGGAAAAATAATGAGAAATCTAAAAGAAGAAACTCTGACGTTGAGTGAGAAACTCGTGTAAACTCTATTCAAATCTCTGACTGGCATCTAACCATAAAGAGGAAAAATATGAGGGCAGAATGATAATGAGATTATAGAAAAAAAATGTATGTCAGAGATCTTCACATGTCTCTTGTATTTTTTTTTATTTTTGTATTCAGAAAAGTCATAACATATTTTTCTATGCAAAAATGCATCATGACTTTTCTGACAACCCAATGTTTATCTTTCCATTGTAGATTTTTCCATTTGATACTGTTTTTTTATATATTTGAAGTCTGGTGACTTTCTCCTTTTTTTTTTTGTTTCATCATTTATATTTTCTTGAATATGTTAATTCTACTTTTTAAAATGTATTTGTTCACTCTAATACCTCTATTATCTCTGGGTCTGTTTCTGTTGTCTGTTCTTGTCTTTGGTTTTGTTTCTTCACATTTTGCTTATTTTATACAATAGTGCTGTTACCTTAGAATGGTATTTTCTTTTATCAGAAGGGATTCTCACTGTAGTCTGTTGGACACCTAGGATAGGGCAGATCATTTCAGCCAGAGCCTGAGCCAAGGCTTTGTAAGGTACATCCCCATTCATAAGAGTGTTGCCATTAGAGAAGCCTTCTGAAGTCCTGGTGTATGTACTAAATCCCTCCTCTCTTGTGGTACCAAACTTCCATTTTTGTTGTTGTTGTTGTTGTTGTTGTTCTCATAGGACTTGAGACTGTTGAAATGTCTCCTGAGTTTTTCCAGCTACTTTTTATTTAGCTTCTTTACTGTTTCCCTGAGAAGCTTAAGAACAGACGTATGTATTGGTGAACTATAATAGTATCAAGTCTTGGGGGATGCATTCTGTAAAACTGGTTGTCATTGTTTAGGTCTTAGGCAGTCTGAAAGATTTGGGGTTTTCCCATTAATTATGGAGACTTTTATTAATTCTATGGTTATGGACCTTATACCTCAACCTTTTCTTCTTGGATATTAAATACAGTACCTTTCTGGGATCTTTGTATCAGGGGGTCTCAGGCAACTGCTGAAGATGCAATACAAAAGCCTTTCAAGCTCCAGTTTTTCACTTTTTCATATATCTGCCTGTTATTTCCTTTTCTTTCTTTTATACATATCTCAAACCTAATATATTCAATATTATATCTTTGATTTCCCCTTACATCTTTTTTTCTTCTTGCCTCTTTTTTCCCAATAAATATAGTACCTTATATTTAGTTGCTTTTGGAAAACCCTAGAGTCCTGAGTTTTTCCCTCTTCTTTATCATTTACAACAAATTCTGGCAGTTCTAGCTATAAAAGACATCTCAATATGTTTCTATCTGTACTTCTAGCATATCTTACCTGAACTTCTGCTCCAGTCTCTGCTTAGCTTTCATGGACTCCCGTCACACTGGGCTTCATTCTGTTCTCCACCATACCTCAAATAAAAAACAGGTCCAGTAAGATAAGATATCAGGTCTCAAGAGAGACTTAGGATTACATTGGCTAGCATTTACCCCCAGATTCCTCAGTTTCTGGGTTGAATAATTGATGTACTCTTTTTAATATGTGTTAATACAATCAGAAGACAGATCTTATAGACCAAGTGCTAGCTCTTTGCTGATCTATTATGTTGATGTTCATTTAGTAATTAACATACATTTACTGTATGCCTACTGTTTGCTAGATTGTATGCATACATATTATCTTTTTTAAAGAATTACTTATGGGCCAGCAGATGGCATAATGGTTACATTGTTGGACTTACATGTAGTTGATCGCAGCAGTTTGAGTCTCGGACCTGGCAGCTTAAAACTCATGCTGGGATGTGTGCATGCCTGCCCAAAATCCCAAGAGGAGAATGGAGAAGAAGGGATTGTAATGTGGCCATTCCCCTTAGGGGGATGGTTTCTTGCTTTCTGTTTCTCTGTCTCTCTGGTGAGCACAACTTTAGCTCTATAGCAAAAATCTTTCTTAATTTTTTTTTAAATTGTATTCATTTTTAAAAATTCACTATAGGTACCTGTGCTCACTGGAGAGAGAGGAAGAGTAAGAGACAGAGACAGAGAGCAAGAGAAAGTGAGAAAGCCAGCCACCAGGTCTGGGACTCGAACCATGGTCAACCTTGTGGGAGTTCAGTTCCTTAACCACCATACCACCTGCTGGCTCTTATATATCTTAATGGAGTCAGAATTTATGCAAAAAATAGAAACATTCAGTCAATAAATTTAACAAGCTTAAAGTATGAGAGACATATTGGAGACATTCACCCCATAGGAGAATGTAACATAGAGGTATACCTTTGTCTAGGGATCAAGAAAACTTAGACTAAGGATTAGACAGAAAGGAATATTCAAAGTGGAGTTTCTTAAAAACAAATAGTAATTATTCTGGCGAAGGTGTTATTGGAAGGAGTTTTTAGCATGGCAAATAGCATGTTCAAAGGCAAGAGAAAAATGGCCTATTCCAGGAATTGAGAATTCAGTATGGCTGAAATAAAGACAGAGCTCAAGAGCAGCAGTGGTGAGATTAAAGCTAGAGGTGGGCAGGGCCTTCTTGCAGTTTTAAGGATTTTATATTTATCTAGCATGGGGTTAGGACTTCGTACTCAATAGTTAGACAGCTGTGTGTGTGTGTGAACTCTTGTCTTCTCTGCATGTCTGTAGGCAGGCCACTTAACCTCCTCAAGTTTGTTTTCTATTCTGCTTTGGGAATAATTATAGTACCAAACAGGGCTACTTTTGGTCTGCTGGACTTGATTTTTATTTTTGGCTAGTATCTTACTTTTGAGCATTGATGCTCCAAATTTCCATGACTTCTTGCTGTTTACTGTTCACATAGGGCCAACCTGTACCTTGGTGGTTAGGGCAGCTGGACCCCACATGCCAACCACGTGGTTCAAGTCCCAGATCTGGTGGCTTGATAAAATAAGTGAGGTGCATGTGCAGGTGCCCAAACCCCCAAAGGTGAGAGAGAGGGAAGAGAAGGGATTGCAGCAGCATGACCATTCCCTATGGGAAGTGCTTTCTCATTTCCCCTCTCTCTGTCTCTCACCTCTTCTTGGTGAGCCTGCATGTTCGCTGGCAATCTTTTTGTTTTTGTTTTTTAAAGTTTCAGCCATATAGTTCTCCTATCCTGATACTTTACTCACTAAATCAGGCTCTGATTTCAGCCTGACTTCCTTTGTAGCATGTCTACAAGGGAGAGAATGTGCTGGCTGACCTGAGGACACAAATGCCCTGTATTCTTGGTAGTTTTGGCAGCTGTAGTTATTTGTAAATTAATAAGTTGGCATTCTCATTTTTTATTAGTTTTGTGAGCTTGGTTAATGGGAACTATTCCAAAGAGATGGATCTATTGGTCATATGCTGTGTTCCCATTGAATTTATGAGCTTTCAAGGTCAAGGATTAAAACAGAATATGGAAAAGGTACTAAGAGGAAGTTAACTCTTGAGATCTCTTTCAAACTAGGCAACTCACCTTCCCTAGGGTTCTCTGTGCTTATGTTCTGTCATTGGCCATGTGAGCTTACTTTATATATTTGCCTTTTAATAGGATTTGTTTTAATTTTTTATTTTAAGGTATTTATCATCATATAAATTATCAGACTGATGAATATAGAGTTAGGAAGAACTGGTCAGATTGTGATGTGCATTAAGCATAGACTGACTATTCAGCGTTCAGCTCACAAAAAGATGTCCTGTTAAGTATTTAATTTTGTCGGGCATATATGTTCATTTGACATTATGAAGAGATTTTGACACTTTACAATCATTAACACAAGTAACTTTTTATTTTCCACCAGCAACTAAACCATTTTTGAGGAGGTGGGGGGATTGCTAGTGTTCAGTAAGCCAGAACCAGGGATGATAGATATCCTGTAGTGACTCGCAAAGCCTTCACAAAGACCAATTGTCTGCTCCTTAAAGCCAGTCAATTCCCCCTTCTGGCAAACACTGCCCACTTGCTGATTTCTCGAGGCAACCTAAGATAAATGTGATGATAGCACCATCTAGTGAGAGAATTAGGTAATGAGCAAAACCTACTTTCATCAAGGAAATTAGAGAAGATTCAACTTGTACTTTATGTAAAACATGATTATAGAATTATAGACTTTTGAAGCAGAAAGATAAATTTGGGCTAATTTAATCCACTTTCTCCTTTTACAGATAAGAAAACTATAATTCAAAGAGATGATTTGTCTAATATATATCTAGGTAGTAGAAAATTGCTCTTATTTTTCAGATTATTATTCTGCCCTTTCATCATAGCGAACTATCTTGTGTTCTTTTTGGGTTACTGTCTTAGGTTCTTTGCTTAGTGATTCAGTTAAGGGAAAAAAAGTCAATGGCATCTCATTTAATATTGGGTTGTTTGATTATTTTTTCTTTTTTTTTTAAGAATTATTTTATTTGTATTCATTTATTTACTTACTTTAATTTGACCAGAGAGGGACAGACTGAGAGAGAGAGAGAGAAAGTAAGCTGCCAGGTCCAGTACTCAAACCACTGTCGGCAATGTGGGAGTCCAGCACCCTCAACCACCGTGCTGTTTACTGGCATCAAGTCATGAATATTTTTTCTATATTTTTATTTGCAATCATGTGTCATTTCTTTTACAATGACCCAACAGATGTGTTATAAAGTATCTTTCATAATGTATATATTATGCCTGATACCTTGTTCGAACCTAATTTTAACATCCAGAGAAATGAGACAAGATTTTGTACATTCATTTAGTTTTTAGTTGCTATAATTTTAACTTTGAGTGTTGAGTCTTATGATGAAACCTCACCAGAGATAGGAAAAAGTAAATGAAAATTTAAGATTTATTGAATTGATTAATGAACTGACATGCTAGTAATCAAAGATGCAAAAAACTAGAGAAAAAAACTTTAAAGTAAAATTAAATGAACCACAGAATATTGTTTCCTATTCTCCTTTGTGTCGGGGAACATAAAGCATTTGGATAAAGCAAGTTTCTCTCTCCCTCTCTCTTCGTGGGAGGAATTGGCAAATGCACAGGATGGTTTAGCTGCAACTCATATCTTGAGACTATGTCAGATTCATTTGGAAGAGAGTAATTTTAAATTATTGACTGGGAAAATGTTATTTAGAGAAAAAGTGGATTCCAAATAAAGTACGCTTTAATAAGTGATGGGATCAACAGTACTACAAGATGATGAACCTGAGGAAGCGAGACTGAAATGGGCAAATTTCCTTGGAAATGGTGATGATGACAGTAGAGCTGGCATTACCAATGATGATGTTGCCGCGTTTCATAATAATCATAATAAATAACATTTTTAAATGTGGTGCTGGCGTTGAGGAATTACTTGTGTTGGCTAATTTTTTTGTTGTAAGGATTTTGCCATAGGGCACGTGAGCTTACCAGAGACAGAGAGAAGGAAAGTGAGAAATCACCCCAACACAGGGGGTGGCCACACATCAGTGCTTTCTCCTCTTGGGATTCTGGACACACAACACACACACACACACACACACACACACACACACACACCTCTGCTGTGATTTTCAAGCTGCTGGGTCCTAAACTTGAACCGGAGTCCAGGGCCTTAACATGCCACTTGCTGGTCTCTACAGTTATATTTTTAATGTGCGTATCAATTTATCCACTTTTTCTCAATGTATGTGGGGAAGAATGTGCTTAAGTGATTCAAAATACCTTATAAAGGAGGTCAGCAGGTGGCATGGTGGTTGGGGCACTGGACTCCCATATGACCAACTACAGTTCAAGTCCTGGCCCGGGTGGCTTACTTTCTTTCTTTGCTCTCTCTTTCTCTGATGAGCATACATGCCTATAGCAAATTAAAAAAATATAATAATAATAGATTAAATCATTCTTAAAAAAATCTTACAAAAGTATTAGTATCTTTTTAATTGCCAGAGGGGACATGTGTTCACCAGAGACAGACAAAATTAAGAGAGGGCACCTCCCAAAGGGCATGATCATGCCACAGCCCCTTCTCCATTTCTCTGTCCTGTCAGGACCTTGGGCATATACACATACACCCAGCATGTTTTTCAAGTTGCTGGGGACAGGGTTTGAGCTGTGATCAGCCTTGTAGGGCCCAGCTCCCTTCACCTCTAGGCTTCAGGGCCAGCCTAGTTTTTTTTTTTTTTTTTTTTTTAAATATGTATATCTTGTTTATGTGTCTGCACAATTCCATCATGCACTCATATACATATCCCTTCATATTCACAGAATATTTGTGGCAGAACATATCTGGAAGGCTATTTAAAAAACTGTTTAGGGACCAGCAGGTGGCTTGGTGGTTAAGGGTGCTAGATTCCCACATGGCTGACTGTGGTTTGAGTCCTGGACCTGGTGACTTGCTTTTTCGCTTTCCCTTTCTCTTTCTCTCTCTCTGGTCAAATTTCATAATAATAACAAATGGAATTAATTAAATAATTCTTTAAAAAAAAAAAACAACCTATTAGAAATTCCAGCAGGTGGCGTGATGGTTAAGGCACCGGACTCCCACATGGCCTACTGTGGTTCTAGTTTGGGACCCTGCAGCTTTAAAATCATCCTGTGTATATGTACGTGCATGCCTGGAATTCCAGGAGAAGAGGATTGTGGGATGGCCATTCCCCTGGGAGAGTGATTTCTCATTTTCCTTCTCACTCACTCTCTCTGGCAAGTGCACATGCCCTAAAAACCTTCAGAAAAAAAAAATGTGTACAGTGATTAAATATATATATATATATATGTGTGTGT